CTCCCACTCCGACGTGTTCTTGGGGTTTTACTGCATGTTGTTCAGCATGTCCCTGAAGAAGCTCCCCAGCACGTGGGAGCAAAACACCGGCTATCACGTAAAAACAACATGCGGTGCAACCCAAAAATACATCGAAGAGCTGTGCTGCAAAGCTGGAAATACTGTAACAACACACGGCAGTGGTAATCCATTCTCTTCTTACGAAACATATTTGTTTTAAAGAAAATTGCTGTTGCATCATTAGGAAGGCCTTTTTTGGTCAAAGCTGTCAAAAGTACAATTTGTTACCTTTTATAATTATTTTTATTCCATTGTATTTATTTCCAATTCACAACTTGCAAAAAGCTTTAAAAACAAAACGTGAGTACTGCATCGCGCTACGTTCATGTGTGTGTGCACATGGGCGTACGTGTGTTTGTGTAATATTCATACTTCCATTTCTTTATCCCACTGAAATCTATAAATCTACTGGAATATTTTGCCATCTTGCTTGCATTTCCGGATCTGCTTTTCCTGGTAAAATCCAGCCAGTTGCATACTCAGCTGTCCGACTGTGTTTTCTTTAACTTTCAGTCCTCTCGAGACATATTTACATTCCGCACACATGCACGCACGTACGCACATGCACAGGTGTATATGTAAGATTGTTCATCACATGCAATTCGCCATTCCTTCGGAATGCAATGCATATCTGTGTTTGATAACACACGGGGTCTTTTTTTTCATGATCGTGTGTATGTTATATAATTGTCTGTAGATTATTTATAGCATCGAGGTTGAGCAGCGATGCACTGGTTAGCACGCCATGAACCCGGTGACCCGAGTTTGATTTCCAGCCACCCGGTCTGGGTCCTCTCTTCACCAAACCAGACTGACCAGCATGGTAAAGTCAAACAATCTCCACAATCGTGGAGCAAACTGATCATAATAGCTTTATTTAATTATTATCATCAGTCATTGCCAATGCACCGCTGGATACAAGTCTCCTCAAACCACCACAATCTCTCAGGATCCTGTAATGTAATAATAATCCACCTAGTTATAACTTGCCAGTGGTGTTAACCGTGGCTGGGCATCGAACCCGTGTAGATAAACGCAAGTGAAAAACTAACAAGCGTCTTTGTTTTTGCGATGCATTGAGCGGACCTTTACGCCAATAGAATTTCCACCTCACAAGACATTTCATTAAGCCGAGCCTTAACATCGCTGTCAGAAAGTAGCTGGTGACGTGGGGGTGGGGGAGGGAGGTTGTGCATGGGCACTTCATTTCATAATATGCTTGGCTTGTTCATTGGAAATGCTAGGGGCAGATTGCTGAAGCATGAGGGCTCTTGGCAAGGAACAAAGAAGGGGCTTCAGTCCAGCCACCTGCAAAAGCCGTGCCCATTTCACAGCAGCGGCCACAGCCAGGGTCCCAATTCCACCTGCGTTGCGTCCAGAGCCGGTGTCTCGTTATCAAACGTCTAGACTCTAGACGAAACAAATTCCACGAGCACCCCGACGCGCCGAGATTGCTGGGGACAAGACCCCGTGTGTCGCACGCATCTCAGCGATGACCACGATTACGTTGACGCAACACGTCACGCTACCTTGTGACGAAGACAATAAAATGGTAAGACAGAAAATGTAATTAAAAAAAATAAACTTATAATGTGTAGAAAAAAAAGCTATTTGCCCATTTAAAAGTTAGAATCATGTGAGCATGTTTTTTATAAATGTTTTTGCAATCGGTGTTATGTCAGACAAACAATACATTGGGAATTCCCGCAAAAAGATGCAATCACCCCAAGTTAGAGAATGGTCCGTGGAAATGGATGTCAAAGATCTACCTGTGAATTATGTTCTTAAAGTGACTTCTTAAACACACTAGGGAGGGGGGGCAGACTTTTTTTTATTTTGGAGTTGTAATTCAAGCAAATCAATTGAAAAATCTATCTTTTTAAATTATATTACTTCTTATACAGATCAGTCTGAGAGTAACAACTCTCTCCACTTGAGAACCCTATTTAAAATAACGGGCAATTGTCCAAATTGGAACCCAACATCGCAGTGCTCAGACCCTCGAGCCACCCTGCCTTCTCTAGCAATACTATGACCATCTAACACTTTAAGATAAAATGTAAAAAAATAATCTGCAACCATTCATCAGGGTGCTTCAGTGGTCTGGAATTCAGCCAAAATCACCACTGAGTCTGTTGTTTTGCAGTCCCCAAATCTCAGAGCTCCCCGATTTTGTGTTGCGAGTTCTGCATCAAAAAGCACTTCATAAGCTTGTCTGTCGTTTGTTGTGAACCAAGTGGCGCGTGGCGTTCTGCTTAAGAATACGTCATTGGTCGGTGGCAGGGTGGCTAAGGGGTTAAAAAAACGCTGACTTGGCACCGCTGAGATTCTGCGTTTGGATCCAGGTCGCCCGACTGCCCCCACGTGATTAAACTGGGTCCTCAAGTTTTACGAGTTCATGGTGACTGCACCAACAAAAAAAACCCATCACACGAAAAAAAAAATTCACCTAATTTGGCCAAATTACAGCTCTTTGAAATAAAACTATCAGACAGACATCTTCTTGGTTCTTTCGGTAAAGTCACGTAGAAGGGAAGTAATAAAATAATACAAATAAAACAATTCTCACGACGTTTCGGCCACAAGGCAAGCAGCCGTCCTCAGGTGAAAACCAGGTCTGTCGAGGCGACAGCGTCTGAATGAAACGGCACACGTGCTTGGAGCATATATTTAAGCTGGGTTGGAAGGGGGGAAAAGGGCGCCTTGACAAAATAATATGCATATCAAGAGGAATTTAGCATATTTATGGGAAATGCAAGTATGTGATTAGCACTACTTATGCCCGTGCATTATGCAGGATTAGCAGCATCAAAGGGAAGGGATATGGGAAATGCAGGTATGTGATTAGTACTACTTATATCAGACAGACACTTTAAAATGACAGTACTTTACTCATTGGTAATACAATACTGTATTTTTAATTGGATTGTGTTACTGCAGCGTAGCATGTCAACCGCTTAGGACCGTAATTCACGTAAAACAATGATACAAAACATTACTTTAGAGGATATCGGAAGTAGTTCTGTGAAATCTCATTCCACGGGCGATTTTGTAACAGAGGGTGATGCACTGGACCGCAAGGTTTCAGAACAGACGCTTGAGGACACACGATGCCAATAGCACATTTGGAATAAAACGTAAACACGTCAGACAAATATTTACTAAAATAGAATGGGACATTGTGTGCTTTTATCACAAGAAGAAACAACTCCAAATAATACACAATAGAGGCAATGTTTATGATGAAAACGTGGATCTAGCAGGGATGTTAAACCACGTTAAATTCATTTTGACACAACTGTCCCCAACATCAAGATTTCTCATACCGTGTTCAACAAAAACAGTCCATACGACGTTGATGATCTAAATGAGGATTTCGTAATCATAAACAAAAGCTCTCGATGACGGGCAGAAATATCACAAAAGTCAGTCGAGTGGCACCCAAGCCAAGTCACGGAGCTCTTAACGCTGCATATACAAACCTGTCAGCTCGACTCAAAGCCCAAAGGGTAGGTACTGTACAGGATGGTCCAGATGTCTGCATCAGCAGCAGACCGTGCTTTCCCACCTGATGACGGACGCTTGTGTTGCGCCCGAAACGTCGTGATTTATTCAATTTTTTCTACCTACGTGACTTTACCGAAAGAACCAAAGAGTATGGATTCCTGTAGTCACGAAAGCTTCAAATCAAAATTGTTTAGAGTTTGCTTAACGTTGGCCGTCCAGTCTCTCTCTTACTCTTGGTTTTTTTCGGTAAAGTCACGTAGGTAAAAAAAATAGAAATAACATAATAATAAATTAAAATAAATCAATTAAATCACGACGTTTCGGAGGCAACACAAGTCACGAAAGCTTCAAATCTAGAATCAGTCTCTCTCCCTCCCCTCCACACCCCTTTAAACAAGATCAGGCTATCGGGAAGGGGGGGGGGTGATTTAAACTTCAAGAATGCGACAGGAATGCTTCCAACGCGCGCGCTCTGCACTGCATGCCACAGTATAGTAGTGGCTGGCATCAGCATGGGACCTGCTGCTGCTACTGCTGCTACTGCTGCAATCACACGCGACCCAAATTGCTGCTTGGAAGAAGCGCGGTTGAAGAAGGGCAGCCGTGACCATCGTCAGAGCAGGCGGGAGAGACTCACGCGTTGACCACTCCGTGCCCTTCCCGCTGCCAAGTGGAGGATATGATATCCTAGTGTCACGCGAAAGTAGAAACTAGTTGTCCTAGTATCACGCGAAAGGTGGCACACAACCACATGCGTGCTCCGAAAAAGGGACGTTGCCCTTCTATCCCCGTAAACGTCGCCTATTATATTTACACACACGCGCGCATTAAACTTGCGCTCTTGATGTGTAACACACAAATGTGTTAACAGCAACAGCAACATTCACGATAGAAGGCGCGGATATTTTTTTGTTTTGACTCGACTCCGTTTGTCTTGAAACGCCGGGCACATTTTGCGGAATTAACTCTTACAAAAGAAAAGACAAAATCACGTGCAATGATTGTGGTCCAAGAGACCACGCGTTTTGTTGACTTGGCAAAAAAAAAGCGTGTGTCGGCTCTGGCGGCTGGGACAAGCGAGCACCCAGACACAAAGCAATCATCGCTCGACTGAACAGAAACAATGTCACTTGGCTTTGCGATGAGCGCGCTGCGCGAGCCGCGGTCATTCACAACTTTCCACGGGGATTCTTCCCCAACTCTTCAGTAGCGATTACCCCAGGGCTCAACAGGATGTACTGGAACAGCTGCCACCGAGCCGGTGACGTTAAAGCGAAACAAAACTAAAACACGAAAAAGACAAAGATCCCCTTTACCCCTCTCCTCCAACAAACATACTTTGTGTGGCAAGTGCTGTTATTAGCGAGCACCTATGAAGACCGGCACAGCACACGAGCGGTCACGCTCGCTTGGCTCACTCAGTGACGACTCACCCAGTTGTTCCGCCAGCTGCTCGCCTGCTGAGACAACACGTTGCCTCCCCCCTTCCCTCTCTCTTCTTTGTTACTCTCCAACGTTTCCCCAAAGACGCTTGCTCCTGCAACGAAGTCGCATTCTAAGTCTCCCGTAGCCGCACGAATCTCTGGGTCTTCGCGAATCTGTGCAGGGGGTGGTGAAAGACCACTCACTCGCACCTTTCCGTGGGTTTCGCTCGTCCCCGACTCGGAGAGAGGCGTTCGACAAACACTGAGGCTCAGTCAGCCCCGGCTTGCAAGCCCACACATACCACCCAACCCCTTCCCCCTCGGGGGGCGGTGTTGTAGGAGGAGCGGGGAGGTGGTGCAGTGGAGGTTGTGCGTTGGATGGGGGCGGAGTGCATGGGGGATGATGGAGGGAAGGGTGAGCAGAGTGGAGGGGGGGAGTCATGTGACAGCGAGAGTGTGGAGCAGGAACTGTGAAGGCATGTCAATGCTGTTGAGTGCCGTACAAGACACCGCGCACAGAGTGTGGGTTAATGGTTAGGAGCGTTGCCGCCACTGCTGAATATCAAAACCAATCGAGACGTAGCATGGGAAGAGGAGTGCTGTATTTCACAATAACAGAAGAGGGGAGAAATAGATTTATAGAGTGTATGCGTTGACTAATAAGTGGTGTGTTATTTCAGAACTTATAAAAGTCGCAACTTTTAATGTGCTTGGTAGACTTACAGATTTCCCAGGAAGGCTGTCTGAACTTCAGGATGATTCTGGGAAAACCGGGACAGTCGGCAACCCTCGTGGATCGGAGTAATAATAATTAAAATAACACGGTAATTCACAGCCGCTGACTGGATGAAGGCCCTCCCCCACACCTTTCGATTAAATGAACCTCACCCTCGCTATTTTCATCGTAATCACTTTTGTGCGAGGAGAGGTGGTGTAAACCCATTAGCAGAGACTGACATTTTCTTCTTTACTGATGTCACACATTTTATATTAGAGACTCATTTTCAAAATGAAATTGTGCTTCATAACGCCAAGCCTTCGTGGCATCGTCCCATGAATTATTTTTATTGCATCATTTCCTAATGTTCTCGTGTACAAGTGATAGTTTTGGCATGCGTCATGTCCACTGCGTAGGGGGTTTTTTTGTTCGCGTTTGTGCTGCGTGTCCAATGCAATTTTCAGATTGTACCGCGGGTTCTTCGGCATGATGTCCGAATTTCGCTCGCTGAAAAAAATCTCCCAGCAAGTGATGTTCGACATTTTTTTCCGATGTTCTACTTTTCCAGGATCCTCCCAGCATGTGTTTCCTTCAGAAACTGAACATGCATTTCCTGAAGCTCCTATCCTGTGGAGCGAAACATCATGCCGACAAATGCGTAGTAAAACCGGGAAACACATTTTAAAGCTTTGTTACATTTTTCCCACTTTTTTTTCTTATCAGCCACCTTAATTTCGCTCTCACAGCATTTTGCAAATGAACTGAATTCTGAGATGTTGAAAGAATCATAAATCTTAAAGTGATCTTTTATTGGCATTTGCAGAACGCTTACGTTCTCAAAAGAAACAGCCCAGTAAGGAGACATCAATAACGTAACCTGTAAAAGCGCTGCATCCGGTAAATGCCTCGCAAACACCCAACATTAAACCTCATGTAAGTCATGTAAAAGTCTTTTTCTCAAATAAAAAAAATAAAAAAATTGGTTCTAAATACTCTGTTGTACTTTTACAAAACAGAACCTGACATTGCTTGTAAAATAATATAAAGTTGTCTCACGCACCCTCTCCAAGTTTTTTTAAGAATTATATCTATTTTTTTAACACAATTCCAGTTTTCTGATGAATTGCTGGAGCATTATAGCCCGTGAGGCAAGGGGGTTTACGGCAGTACCACCTGGGGTGGCATGTGCTTCCAGTATCCACCATGGAAAGAAGACCGAGCGTAAATACACACTTCATATTTATTTTCATACTCCGTAGATGTTTCACGTGACACGTTTATTGTCCTCCTCAAAACGATGTTCTCGATCAAACTTTGGTAACCTTTTATCATGACAGCGATTTACCGCAGAGAGCTACTGCCACTGTGAATCGTTCACCTTGCTGCTGTTGTCGTAATTCACGGCACACGAGGCGGAATTATTGCAATACAACACGGACCGAATCCAGGCCATTTACCGCTTTGATTACGAAACGTCATTACAACCTCACAACTATGCAACTATATAGACAGACAACGTAACGATTTAATCTATAAATTCATGCAACAAATTGCATGTAACGACTTATATCAAGATTACAGCTATTTTTTTAAATTAACGAATTTATCCGCTAACGGCTTACAATAATACACTCTTTCGTTTCTGGAAGACTTTGCTGTTTTTTCCTGGAATTTTCTGTTGCGTGCAGTCATTTTAAGATGTTTCTTGTTCATGTTTGTGTTTTGTTGCGGTTGCACCCGAGTCAAGAGCCGCATGGCTCACAGGGTTGTACCTAATAAATGAAACTGAAACTGACTACTTGGCATTATCGCCAACTTCGCTCGCTATCGCCACTCACTCGGTCACTGCGGTACTGCCTCGCCTGTGCCCTGCACGCCACGGCATCGCTACCACTCCACTCACTCTCACACCGCCACCACTCCACCCACACTCACACCACCAACACCACTCCACTCACACCACCACCACTCCACCCACTCTCACACCACCACTCCACCCACTCTCAACCCACCACTACTCCACCCACTCTCACACCACTACCACTCCACCCACTCTCACACCACCACTCCACCCACTCTCACACCACCACCACTCCCCCCACTCTCACACCACCACTCCACCCACTCTCACACCACCACCACTCCCCCCACTCTCACACCACCACCACTCCCCCCACTCTCACACCACCACTCCACCCACTCTCACACCACCACCACTCCCCCCACTCTCACACCACCACCACTCCACCCACTCTCACACCACCACCACCACTCCACCCACTCTCACACCACCACCACTCCACCCACTCTCACACCACCACCACTCCCACACCACCACCACTCTCACACCACCACCACCACTCCACCCACTCTCACACCACCACCACTCTCACACCACCACTACCACTCCACCCACTCTCACACCACCACCACTCTCACACCACCACTACCACTCCACCCACTCTCACACCACCACCACTCTCACACCACCACCACCAGTCCACCCACTCTCACATCGCCACCCCTCCACCCACTCTCACACCACCACCACCACTCCACCCACTCTCACACCACCACTACCACTCCACCCACTCTCACGCCACCACCACTCTACCCACTCTCACACCACCACCACCACTCCACCCACTCTCACACCACCACCACTCCACCCACTCTCACACCACCACCACCACTCCACCCACTCTCACACCACCACCAATCCACTCACTCTCACACCACCACCACCACCCACTCTCACACCACCACCACTCCACCCACTCTCACACCACCACCAATCCCCTCACTCTCACACCACCACCACCACCCACTCTCACACCACCACCACTCCACCCACTCTCACACCACCACCAATCCACTCACTCTCACACCACCACCACCACCCACTCTCACACCACCACCACCACTCCACCCACTCTCACACCACCACCACTCTACCCACTCTCACACCACCACTCCACCCACTCTCACATCGCCACCACTCCACCCACTCTCACACCACCACTCCACCCACTCTCACACCACCACCACTCCACCCACTCTCACACCACCACTCCATTCACTCTACCCACTCTCACACCACCACTCCACCCACTCTCACACCACCACCACTCCACCCACTCTCACACCACCACCACTCCACCCACTCTCACACCACCACCACCACTCCACCCACTCTCACACCGTCACCACTCCACCCACTCGCACATCGCCACCACTCCACCCACTCTCACACCACCACCACTCCACCTACTCTCACACCGTCACCACTCCACCCACTCTCACATCCCTACCAATCCACCCACTACAACACTACGAACACACCAGCCACGCTTTCTGTGCTCGGTCGACTGCCTATCGCCCCCCCCCCCCTCTCTTCCTTAGAATATTGCGATTAGGCTGCTAATACATTTCCATGTGTTCAGCAAAGTCGTTCAGCTATCATTTGTGGCCAGGTCGCTTCTGAAAAAGAAGCTAACAGCTCAGTGGGCTTTAATTGGTCAAATAAAATAGTTTCGTTTTAATGGCAGAAATGTTTTAGTGATTTGCTTACCTTTCCTATACTTTGCACTCCTATCGTGTTTTTTTTATTGGACTGGACATCTGTGATAGAGCTTTATAGCTCAGCGGATTCCTCCACTATGAACGCATATTCCGATTCTAATTTTTGGCCGTTCCCCCGACCAGCGTGGATGCTCGGCTTTATATCGCCCAGCAAGACGGAAATCCATAATAGAGTTGTTTTGGGTTCGATCGCGTACATATATAAATGTGTCGTTAAAACCGCCACCACCCGACACAGCCAATTAGTAAGGTTTGTCACGTAAACAGAACGTGTCAATTCGTTACTAGTACAGCACACCGGTGTGTTGGAGAGCAAAACCACAACATTTACAATCTGAATTCGACGTTTCGCCAGTAATTAGAACTAGCTTAATCAGATTGGTGGGTTTAATAACACATTTATATATTTACGCGATCTAACCCTGAAAAAAAACCTGTATTATGGATGATATTGGTCGCGAAAGCCTACCACGTGTTAAGGCAGACATCTCCTCTGGTCCGCACATTTGCATATCCAGAGGGTAGCGCCTCCCAACTCATGCGGATTGATGGCATTTCAACCATTTCTTCCCCAGGATCCCACTCACTGCCGATTGGATAGCATGCGGATCCGAGCAAAAAAAGAAACTGTCCGCTGTTGGGCTCTGCAGCATTCTTCAGCGTTCAACCGCGGACAACTTTTATCCTCTCTCTCTTTACTGGAGGGCATCGTCCTTGACCCCCGCTCTCGAGTAATTCACCAAACACCGCACTATGGCAGCCGCACATCATCATTACCTTGTTACACAGTGGCATCCCCCTTCATGTCCACACACTACTCATCTTCACATCATCCGTGTCGTCATCATCAACATCATCATCTTCAAACATCATTATACCATCACATGTCATCACATTTCAGTCCTACCATTCAGTGATAAGACCATCATATTTGTTTGTGATCCAGAGATAAAATGCTTGAAGAAAATCATTATTAGCACATTCCACGGTACAAACATTT